GGCCTCGGTGCTTGATGTTGTTGTGGTTGCGGTGCGTGTGGTTCCCAGTATTGGGAGTGAAGGGTGGTTCGTCTGCTGTGTGCAAAATTTCGCTCAAAGACAACGGTTTTCGGGACTACAGCTCCGATCACAGCTCCGATCACAGCTCTCTATTTGTAGTACAGAGTAGTAAAATTTACCCCGATTTTTATGCATTTTGTGCGATAGCGGGTGATGCTCTCGATTCTCTGGTGAGCGGGCCGTTTTTTTTTCCGTCGATCTGGCGCTTCTGTGAGACGGTCTTCCGTCCGCGTCTTCGCATCTAGCGCCGCTATTATATCATATATATGCGCTTGCCCTATGCTCTGTCCAAGGATGAGGTGGAAAAGATGTGCCAGCAGTAGTACTACTGTACTCCTGTTCGTCACCTTTTTACATATACCGCGTCCCCATCCCTGTGAGCCCCACACATGGACCCACTGCTGCACCATCCTTGCCGCCGTGATTTATGGGTGTACACGCATGCTTGGAAGATCTTTGACGGCAGAGAGCCAGTTGTGGGGAAAATGAAAACAAAAAAAATCAAACTAACCCAGTCACGCAAGGGTTAGTATCCGCCTCTACTCTTTATCCAATTCGGAAATGCCAGACGCCTACCGCACGCGTGCTTCACTCATTGGCGCGTCCCGTGCTGACGCCCAGGCGACTTCACAATATGGAGAGTGCGCAGATGACATACTTTGGACGTGCTTTTTTTCTATCTTCAGAGCACTAACGGTGGATTTTTGTTTTTTTTTTAACCTTGGATTCGGGGAACCCCAGTTCGCAGCGACACGGGTGCTTCCGCTCATTGGCGCGTCCCGTGCTGATACGTGTTTGTTGTTTTGATCGATGCGTTGGATACGGTGAACTCCACTTGCCAACAGCGCGGGTGCTTCCACTCATTGGCGCGTCCCGTGCTGATAAGTGTACGGCTTTTTTTTTCCGGTGAGATCGATTATGTAACTCTACTTGCCAACAGCACGAGTGCTTCCACTCATTGGCGCGTCCCGTGCTGAGGCTGACATCACATATGCAGCACGGGTGCTTCCACTCATTGGCGCGTCCCGTACTGATACATTATTTGTGGTCTTTTTCCTTCCGATGCGTTGAATTCGGTAAACTCTACTCGCCAACAGCGCGGCGGGTGCTTCCACTCGTTGGCGCGTCCCGTGCTGAGGCTGACAGCACACATGTAGCACGGTTGTTTCCACTCATTGGCGCGTCTCGTGCTGAGGCTGACAGCGCACATGCAACACGTTGCGGTTAACTCTACCCGCCAACAGCACGGGTGCTTCCACTCATTGGCGCGTCCCGTGCTGATACGTGTACGGCTTTTGTGTTGTTTTTTTTTCGGTGAGATCGATTAACTCTATTCGCCAACAGCACGAGTGCTTCCACTCATTGGCGCGTCCCGTGCTGAGGCTGACATCACATATGCAGCACGGGTGCTTCCACTCATTGGCGCGTCCCGTACTGATACATTATTTGTGGTCTTTTTCCTTCCGATGCGTTGAATTTGGTGAACTCTACTCGCCAACAGCGCGGGTGCTTCCACTCGTTGGCGCGTCTCGTGCTGAGGCTTACAGCACACATGCAACACAATGCGGTTAACTCTACTCGCCAACAGCGCAGGTGTTTCCACTCGTTGGCGCGTCCCGTGCTGATAAGTGTACGACTTTCGTTTTTTTTTTTTTTTTTGCGTTGAGATCGGTTAACTTCCACTCGCCAACAACACGGTTTCTGCTTCTGTTCATCCGTTCCCGTGAATGCTGTTGTATGCACTTTCCAATTACGCATGCGGCCGCTTTGTATACCGTGGGACTTGCCAATGCCATCAGTGGAGACGATAGCTTACGTGAGCATATTATCGTCGATGCCTTCGGCTACATTTACCCGTCTGTGCGCGGCACAGACCAGGTACCGGCAAGTAGTCCCGAGTGAGCCGCGGGAAACAGAGAACAAGGCACCGGCACCATGTGCATACTCTTGACAGCACACGCCACGTGCCCCACTGCCGCGGGTCGATCGGTTATGTCCGATGCCGCAAGGTTTCCCCACCCCGTGCAGTACGATGGCTGCTATCGTGGCACGTACAGCAGCGCGTTTTCTCCGTTAAAATATTTTTTCAGCGATAGTACATCTCGGTTGGGATGAACCACATCCCATGTGTGGGAGGGTACCTATCTGAACGGCGTGGCGAGAGAGACTGCGGTACGCCGCTTATCTTACTGCACCCTCCCCCCCGCGCGCTAATGCACGCAGCGGTGAGGTCACAAGAGTAGCGGGACGCGGGAAGGAACACGGCAGACACGATGGATGTTGGACACGGACCCGATTACACACCTTATATGGAGGGTCCCGAGCGCGCGCTGGTCGCTTCCCCAATGCTTGCGCCGCGTCCCGTCCCGTCCATTTTCTAAACTGCCGCCGCTACTGCGTTAGGCGGCTGCTGCTGTCCTTCCGTTGCTTCACGCGCTCTGTAGCTCTCACACGTTACCCGACTTTGCTACAGCCCCTGCGTGGACTCGATCACGGAATGACATCCCTACCTATAGACTACAACAATAAATCCAAACACCGTGACCCTGGGTTTCCGATAGAAAATGAAGCCAAATTCTAATTCGACTGTTACAAAATAAACACCAGTTTATTCTATCTGCTCTTCGAACAAACGTTCCTTTTTTTTTTTCGGAGCACACAGCGGATTGGCAGCAGAGAACACACGCACTGCGGGCGACACCACAAAGCAGACAACACACGCACAGCAGATGGTGTACGCATAACAAGCGACACATACGCACAGCGGGCGACAGCATCTGGTCTCGATGCCGCTGGACTCATGATGAGACTATGTATTGCTGTCGCGCCGTTACCGCCCCGCTCAACTGCCAGCAATGTGAGCACCGCACCACATTATTAGTTATCGAAACCTAGGACGCCGATCGCCATCGTACCACTTCGAGCGTGTGCTCCATTGTGGTGTCTCTGGGCGTGATAGTTGTATTGGGCATGGGTGCTGTATGTGGCGAGAGCATCATCGCGATGTCAAATCCGGTTTGGCTTTTTCGCCTGGCGATGCAAAAAAAGCGATTTGGATTCCACGCCGCCACGAAGGTCTTTCCCACACACAGCACCCATGCCTAACACAACTGTCACGCCCCGAGATATCGCAATGGAGCACACGCTCGAAGTGGTGCCATGATGACGATTGGTGCGCTAGGTGACGAAAACTGACTTGTGTCCTGCTGTATCGCTGGCCAGTGGCAATTGGAAAACCACCGAACAAAGAAGAGGGAATAGGGGGTTCAGCAACAACAGTATGCGGGGGGTACGTTTGACCACGAAAGCGCGATGAGGACGGGGGAGCGGGTAACCGGTAGGTGAAGTTAACGTTACCACAGCTCTCACACCAACGCACAGCAGGTGTAGTATCAAGTGTGTGGTGTGTGCACTCTGTTTCCGTCCGTGGACGCACACGTCTGACGACAGTTACATCTATCAGCTGTCGCTCGTTGTAGCGACAGCTAGCATATCTTCGGCATGATAAGTCGACTAACCGAAACGAACATGCTTACTTTTATCGCCGTGGATCACTTGCAAACAGCCAACATCGTTCGAACTCTGCTTGTCGTCGGCATTTTGGACCAGTGCCAGGAAACGACCCGGCACGGCGAAGAGAGAAACGCCTTGCATACAAACCAGAGCCACAGTTGCTGCTATGCCACGAAATAAAAAATATTTCCATTTACTCACGGAAAGCCAGCATCAACCGTACTTCAGCAGTTGTCCAACCAAAACGCCGAGACGTGTGATGCCTTAGTGGAGGCGGGCAACAACAAAGGAGAGATGAATTGAGAAAAACATTCCAAAAGCGGAGCCACAACCGACTACTTCGTAAAAAAAAGGAGTCCCTACTCACCACCACGTGGCCCAGTCGGAAGTAGTCTGCACAGCAACCGATCAAAGGGGAAAGTCGCGCAAGAGTGTAGATCCCGCACAGCGCCAAGAAAACAAATTCCTTGTGTTTCTCACAACACGGGGACGCACTCGAAACTCGAAATGAACATCCCCAAACATGTGTAACCGATCTCCACTCGTCGACATAACAGGGGTCGCGCAAGGGGGCGAGTACCGTTGGTTGCATTAGACCGTTTAAATGCTCGATTACTCCACGACGATGAGGATGCCGAAATCTACGGATTTTTTTTCGGAAAGCTCTCAACGAGACGGTTCCAACGCCGCCATTTGCGGCACCGTCACTGCTCTTCCTGCCGAGAAACTGAGTTTCGAAAATTGGTCCAGGGCGTGTGATATCTTATGCAACATACGGTGTGTGATATCCAACCGCAACAACGGGGTCTCGAGAGGCCGCCCAGCGATGGTGCGTTACAGAAGGGTTGTTTCCCAGATCGTTCGATTCGGCAAACCCAACCACGCGAGTTTCTTGATCTCGACCTTACAATCCCCATGAAGGGACCTAGATGATGGTGCTGTCACATTAAGGGAGCATGGTGTCTTCCGCCTTCTGCACCGGGGTACCACGGAGCCACAACATCTGCGAAGTTGAGCATTGCAATGCGGCTGCTGCTGTCAGCTTCTCGGATTACCCACGGTACTATGTGTGATGCTGCAAAATAATGATAGAGGCACCTCGTACGGTAGACGAGAGCTCCAAGATCACCCTGTGGTACTCCAACCTGTCAAAATAATAACCACCTGCCTGGGCTCCGACACAAGGTATGGATCCAAAATAGGGACGGCAGGTGTGGGAATGGTGTCCGATCGACCGTCACGCACCGAGAGACAGAATACTGCTATACCTCAGAGATAACGAAACAAAGAACACGGCAGATCTGGGCAGGTCGACTAATTCATGCCGCCGACTGTATGTGCTGCAGGCAGCCGGGAGAGTGCGAGGAAAACAACAAACAAATCAACTCACCCAAGCCCCCAAGAAGAAGGTTGTTCCTTGGTGCTTCTCAAAGGAAGCCCACCACCGCGCGAAACACCCCCTCCAGCCCGAGTCCTAACAGCAGAAGCACCTCCAACCGTAAGCCCTCCTCTCCGCCCTCGGCGCCAACCACACATCCGTCGTTGCTAGCCGTGTGCACCACGCTTTTCCTTCTAAGCCCAAGCAGCCCTGCCGCGATGTCTTGGACCTCCTCTCCGCCTCCAGCCTCGACTTCACCACCAGCACCGTTGCGTGTCGTCCCAGGCCGGCCATAATCAGCACCCGCCATGCCCTCGCTCCTCGCCATCTCAGATCCCCCGACCTCACCACCATCACCGTGGTCGTAGCCGCCAGAGCTACGACACTTTCCCTCCTGAGCCTTCGAGTCGCGCGAGCGGAGCATGACCAACCAGCCCCGGCGACGCCACGCTCTGTCGGCCGGGGCTCGAGAGAGAAGAAGTCTTGTCCGATCGATCTCGTCCTGCGGCGCCGGATTATGGCCAATAACCTTGCCGTATCTTCCACCGAGGAAATCCGCAGGGCTCGCTCCACCATAGTTCAAGGTTGTTTCATCTGCTCCCCATCGCAGCAGCATATCCACGGCCGCCTCTAGCCCTTCGTGACGCTCCCAGCAAGTCTCGTGCAGTGGCGTATATCCTTGATTGCCACGAACGCCAACCTGCGCTCCGTGCTGAAATAGCGCATGCATGGCTTTGCAACTGCTGTTGCACGCGGCAAATGCGAGAGGTGTCAATGAAGCCTCCTACTCCTGCCAATGGTACACAGCCCGCGACAGTAATGCATCTTTTCCCGCATGGTATACATGACCTTCCCCAAGCGCTGAAACATCCTACAGAAACTCCGACAAATTCATCAGCTTTTTCCGGTGGTACCGCAGGTTGCTCTTGCTAAGAGCCTTGGTGAGCATGTCTGCATGTTGCTCCGACGTCAACACAAATTTGATCGAGATGTCCCCCGACCTAAACAATCCACGAATGAAGTGGTACCGCACGTCGATGTGCTTGCTACGCGCTGAGCTAAGGGGGTTCTGCACCAAGGCCATAGCCCCCTGGTTGTCCTCAAGGACCTGAATGCTACCGCCACTGGTCTCTGGGGCAATAAACGAAAGCACTGCACGCACAAACAAAGCTTCCTTCACACCCTCTCCGGCAGCAATGTACTCTGCCTCCGTAGACGACAAAGATACGATAGCTTGCGTTTTGCTACCGTGGCTGATGACGGTCCCTGCAACCGTTGTTGCCAGCCCTGACACAGAACGCCTATCCTCAGCGTCGGCGTAGCTAGCATCCACGTACACCGCCAGCCCCAGCCCCGATCTCCATTTGTAGGTGATCCCGAGGTCCCTCGTCTCTTTGAGGTAGGCGAGGATCTTCCGTATCGCCTTCCAGTGCCTCTCGGCAGGGGCATGGGCGTGGGCGCTACCGCACGCACAGCGAACGAGATGTCCGGGCGCGAGAACGTCGACACCCACATCATGCTGCCGATGGCCTCCCTCACTGGCCACTCCCCTCCACTCTCGTCATCTCGCTTCGGCCCTAGGTCGGCACCAGGGGAAGCAGGGATGGGGGAGGTCGATTGCACATCAAAGCGATTCACGATGCTGTCAATGTACGCGGTTTGGGAGATTCTAAGGGTCCCAGCCTCTAGGTCTCTCTCAACGGCACACCCGTCGAACCACACACACTCTCCAAGGTCTTTGGTGGGGAATGCCTTGTTGAGGGAAGCGAGCAACTCCTTGCAATCATCATCAGACCCAGCCACCAAAATTTCATTCACAAAAATCACGATAATCATCACCACGACATCGTCTTTCATCTTGCGGAAGACGCACGGGTCCGCCTTGCACTGCTCGAACCCGTTTTCTACAAGCGTGTCGGCAGCGTGGTACCCCCACTGCCTGCCGCTCTGCTTCAAGCCGTAAATAGCACGCTCAGCCTTGACAACTTTGTGGGATTTTTCCCCACACCCCGCAGGGAGCCTCAAGAACACATCCTCGTCTAACTTAGCGTGTATAAACGCCTGCTTGACATCCCAGTGGTTGAGTTTCAATGATTTCTCATTGGCTACCGCAAGCATCAGTTTATTGGATGCGGATGATGGGCAAGGGGAGGATGAGTAGAGTCCACATTCGGAATTTGCGAAAACCCCCTAGCGACCAGACGCGCTTTGAACTTCTCGATTTTCCCCTCCTTGTTCGTCTTCCAAGTAAAACGCCACTTTGAACTCACAGGTCTACGCCCCTCTGGCGTACTGTCTACGAACGAAAACGTTCCCGTGTCCAAGTGCCCATCAAACTCTTCCCTCATGGCCTGTTCCCATCCTCTCTGTACACAGACTTGGCAACGCCGGCTACGGTCATGGGGGGGGATTCAACGTCACTCGGACGCTTGCCTATGGGGGATTCTGTACTCAGCTCGGTCGACGCCAAGGCCCTGACGAAGGCGTCTGGAGAGTTGAGCACGAGGTCCTCCGCTCCCAGCAGGAAGTCCTCGGCCTCTTGGCGCGCGATGCTGGCCTCCTCCGCGCGCTCACACAGCAGCGCTTGCACCGCCCTCGCTTCTAGCCCTTCCACCACGTCGACCACACACGCGAGCACCCAGTGGGTGTACTCCTCCGTGCTGTTGATGGGCAGGGTGGGCAGCCCCGCCGCCGACGCATGGCGGGCGAGCAGACCTTCGGCACTCGTTGACGACTCGAACCTCGTGTTCCGGCGAGGGTTCTCCCTGAGTCGGCGGCTGGTGAGTTCGGCCGGCTCGCCAAAGCGGGCGAGCTTCCGTTCCTCGGGCCCGCGGAGCGCCGGGATATCCGTGTCGCTGACGCTGTCGCTGTCACTGCCGCTGTCACTGCTGCTGCCGCCACCGCTGCTGCTGCTGCTGCGGTCGTCCTCGCCGCCGCCCACATCGGCCATCTCGGTCGACGTGGTAGATGGGGCGACACTCACGCCCTCCCTGCTCGAGGGGGCGCCATCGCCAGCGTCGCCCGCGCCCGACTCCTGTGGCGTGGCCGGCGGCGCCGCCGGCGCATCGCGTGCGGGCGGCTCCGCGGGCCCCGGGTTTACCGTCGTGTCAAGGTGGAAACCTCCATCCTCAGGTTCTCCCTCCGCCCTCCCTCCACCATGGCATGACGCACCCTCCCCGCCCTCGTGCTCCCCAGTCGTGAGCTCCTCGTCCTCCTCTGCAATGGGAGGCATCGGTGCTCGGGGGTGCGCGGTCGGGGCGGCGGGAAAAGATTGCCAGGTGAAGTTGCGAGTGGTGATCTCTTGGCGTTTTTCGTTCAGGATGCGCACGCAATCACTTTCTGTGTTGATTCCAGGGCCGAGGTAAAAACACTTTTTCGCTTTCGGCTCTGACTTGTGCGTGCGCTTGACCTTGTATACGGCGGGTTTGAGGAACGGGTGCGTCGCCTCTGGGGGAGGTGGGTGCCCGTGCCACATTTTGTACGGCGATTTATTGTCCGGGTTGAATGTGGTGGAGGTGCAGTTCAGGGCGTTGCATGCCCAAGCTGTGGCTTCGACCCAAAGGGAGGGGTAGCTTGGTGCTTCCCACTCAAATCCTAGCGGAAAACAGGGCAGACGGAGCCAAGCTCTGCGCCCTTGCCTTCCCACTCAAATCCATAAAAACTCTCTGCAGCTTCTTAACTGCTCGGGTGGACGTCCTGTTGGGGATGGGCTTGGATAGCCCCTTTGCCGCCGAGCACCCCATGCACTCCCGGAGCTGGCCCACCAGCGTCACCCCTTGCTGCTTCGCCGTGTTCTTTAGCAGCACCTCGTGGGAGTGGCCGTGCGCGCAGTGGAAGTCGTTGATGTCAACGGGGGTGCGGTTCGCTTTCGCGTTGCCAGGAGCAATTATGGCACAGGTTAGTTCCCTACCCGACTCTATGCCGTGACCAGTCTGAACGAACAGGTCCCCCCATAGAGGGAAGTACACCGACTCCCCCCCACCAACAAACACCTCCAACTCGTGCTCGTCTGCGGCTAAGCGGCCCTTGGTTTGTTTCAAGAGGGCTGTGAGGGACACGAGGTTGTAGTTGAGCTCCGGCACATGAGTGACCCGTTTCAACAACAGGTCTGTGGTCCCAACGCGAGAACTGATGGTCACCCTCACGTCGCCATACCCTACGATGGCGAAGGTTTGCTTCCCTGCGGCGACACTCAAACGTCGATCGCACTCATGGTAGTTTTCGAACGCGTTAGCGCTCGGGAACATGTGGTTGGTTGCGCCGGTATCGGCCACAAACCTTTCCTGCCTGGCCTGCTCTACACCCCCTCGATCAACGAGTTTGTTCCATTCGCCTGTGAAGTCACGGACCACTAGCGCCTCCTCTGCCACGTCCAGTGCGGTGGCGTCCAAGACCGACATCTCCACCGCGAGCACCGCCTGCTCGGACGAGCACGTGCTCTTGTCGTGTCCGTAGCCCAGGCACTTCTCGCATCGGGCTCGGGCTTGGTACAGGCGGCCGCCTGGTGACCCTTCTCTCCGCACCGGAAGCAGCGGCCGTGCATGCTACTTGCACCGCCGTCGCCGCCCCCGCCGCTGTTGCCACCTCCACCGCCCCCACCGCCCTTGCTACCACCCCCTTTCCCCTTCTGGCCGCCACCGCCGCCGCCGCCACCCTTGTTGCGGCCGCCGCTGCTGCGGCCGGGCGCTCCACCCCTGCTGCCACCGTCGCTCGCGAGGAAAGCATGGTCCGCCTTCCGCTGGCCCTTCGGGGCCTTCCTCCCCTCCGGGAGGCTCGCGTGCACCGTGCTCACGATTCTGACGATCTCGCCCCTGTCCAGCCTCGTCGCCGTCTCCAACAGGAACTTCGCTTGTTGGTACTCGGGTGGAAGCGAGTCGACGAAGTGTGCGATGACAAATGGCGTGTCAGCGTTGAGCCCCTTTTCGCGTAGGCGCATCTACATCTGCTCGAGCTTGCTTAGGTGCTCGATTGGATTGCTGCTGCTGTGTGCCGGGATCGAGAAGCGGAACATCTCTTTCATCAGGGCTTGTTTGGATCCCTGCGACTCGGGGTCGTAAACATTCTCAAGCTCCGTGAGGACCCCCTTCGCCGTCACACAACTACTGACGACCGCTTTGTCGGTTTCTTTCACCACGGCGGGAGTGATGAAGTGGAACGCGGCGAGCCCACGTGCGACCTCGCTCCTAGTGTAGCGCAAGTCGTTATACAGCGTGGAGGTGGGCATGTTCGGGTCGCCCACGGGGGCCTGTCTCTCAATACTCCCGATGAATTGACCGTCTAGTTCCACCGTCTTAGCGGCATGGATGAAAGCTTTTCGCCACGTGCTAAATCCGCTGCTGCGGACCCCCTCAAGGCGAGGGGCCACCACGTTCACTTTCTTCGCGTGATTGAAGCTGTTGATGTATTCACCGTTACCACGAGTTGCGGGTATCTCACCTGGGGGGTTTAACCCCCTCGCCTCCCCGCGGTCAGCTCCTACGCCAGGCCCCACTCTCGCTGGAACCCCAGGACTCGCTCCCGGTATGTTGTCCCAGCGGCTTTCTCACGGGTGATTTGGCCCATCACGGGCCGCTTCCCGGGAAAATGCCCCGCCGCCCTCCGACGGCAAGGGCTCTCTCTGGCTTGGGACGGCAGCACCGCCGCCCCTACTGGCATCGCCCGCCACGGCGTCGCCAGGCTCCTTCCTCTTCAGCTCGATCACTATGCTCATCAGCTGCGATAACTGGCCCT